AGACAGCAAAGTGATTTTTCAGCAAGATAATGCTTCGATTCATGTGTCTAATTCATCGAAAACGTCGTTTCAACGAGAAAATATAGCTTTGCTACCACTGCCTGCGAAAAGCCCAGGGGGTCGATTCTCGAACTCGTTCGAATAAGTTCCGCATACGCAAGTGGCCAACTTCCGAACGTTGTAAAAAAATCACAAGAATTTGTATTAAATACGTAGGGTTGCATAAAATCATAAAATCAACATTTTTTTTAATCACGATTTTTTTATGTTTTTTAGTCTGTCAATTAATTATTTGGGATTAAAATCCTGATTAAAATAGTAAGTATCCGACTTAATGTCATCCTTGAGTCGTACTTCTTAGTTTTGAACAATAAAGAGAATTTATTGTAATTTACATTGCAAAAAAGGAATTGATAGTGTTATTTATAATATTTACTCCTATAATCTTTAAAATACAATTTAAAAGAATTATCGTTCCATTTTGTTGGAAATATTGTATTCTAGTTAAAGTTCAACTTATTTTGATATAAATTTGCATTAAAAGGGCCGTAATATGCATTGTATATTCCAAACTGTAAAGAAAACTTAAAAAAAAAAAACAATAATACTTTAAAGCAATAATTTAAATCGAGCCAATCCTGCTAATACGTGTTTTGCTGCTTAATAAATTTGAAGGTAACAAATTAAAATAGTCTTTGGATTCAAACTCACCCCGCGTGAGTTCTGCCAACCATCGCATTTAAATATCCTCTGTATTTTGCCGCTGTTGCCATATCCTCACTGGAACAGAGGCCTTCGTATGCGCATCGAGTTGCTATTCGCATTGAATCTCCTTCAAGAAGACGGATTTTCGTTTCGAATAGCATCTTGGCATGCGCATCTATGCGTACTCGCATCTTTGCGAACGAGTTCGAGAATCGACCCCCTCAGATCTCAACCCTATTGAGAATGGTGGGGTTCTGTTTTACGAGATGGTTATAAAGATTGGGAAGCAGTACGCAACAGTTAATGAATTGAAAGGTGGTATCTTAACGACTTGGAAGAATTTGGACGTCAACTTCTTTATCCATTTGATCAATTCTATTAAGAAACGCGTCTACAGTCTCATAGAAGCAGGTGGAAAATACATTGGGTATTAAATGAGTTTTCTTTTAGTTAGTTAGTTCTCTTTTAAAACGTGATAATAATTTGTCACAATAAATCTATTAACAAAATTACATATTTTCAATAAATTTCGTTCAGTTTTGTATTTTCTATGAAAATGTTTTATTAAATTAATTAAAAGTGGGATTGCTCTATCAACCAGGTATCTTTACTTTATTTTAATACGTTTAGGCAGAACTTCTGCACCGTGATAATTTTTTGTCTCGTACCTTATAACTCAACTAATAACTACTGAAAAAAAAGTGAAATAAAAAAATGTATCTGTATCTGCGCCATTAATTTGTATCTAGATACAGATATTTTGTGCTTAAATTCGATTTTATCTAGATACAGATACTAGATACCCAAAAATGTATCTAGATACTGCCCATCACTATTATTAACTTTATTTGAATTTTAACTGTTAACTGGTGACAAAAAAGGGATGCCACCAATGGCTGCTAGCAGACTGTAGACATGAGCTTTATATTTATCAAGCTTTATTTATGATATTTTACATATTAATGGAAAAAAAAACATTACTGCCGATACATTTTCACGTTTACCTTTATCTGCCACAGAACAAGTTGATAATAGGGACTTCACTTATTTGAACTTTACTGAAAATAATTTCTGTATTACCTCGAATTTAATCAGACTAGAATCAAGGACAGATCCAAATACAAGGGCTATCTGTAATAATTGAATACGAAAAACTAGTGGGTTTTTGGCAAATTAATATACCTTGATGTCAAATGAGTACACAATCACTGTTTAACTTATTACTATTAGAAACGGTAGAGCGACTGAAAGTGGCAGAAACGAAGCAGGAGAGCCCTATTATTTGAGCCACCCTTTTTAGGGGATTAGCGTAGTTAAGTGACTATTTTAATAACTAAATATAAAAACTCAGTTGCGAATGCGAACCGGAGGTCCTGCGTGCGATGCCAAACTTGACCTTTCGTTTTTTTCTTTCTTTTTCACTTTTTTTCTCGAATTATGTATTAACCATGTTTATGACGTCATAACAAATTTTTTATTGATCGAATTAAGAACGAGTCACCCCACTTTCTCGAAAAGGTGCAAATACGCCCGTCTTTATTTAATAAACATTATAATAATAATAATCAGAACATTATGTTCGACGATGGCTGAATCTATCAATAATTTCCCAATTATTCAATATCAATAACAATAAAACTCATTCAAATCAAAACAAATTTCTACGTGACATTCTTCCGATGTATAAACAAGCAATTTACCAACACTTGTTTATAAATCGGAAGAAAACCTGTTATCACTTCTGGAAGGCCGTTGTTTTCTCTGCTTTAAATACATTTTACATTGTCCGTACTTGTGAAATTTTCACAATTCTTTGCAATTTACGCCTCCACGGTGCAGGGGCTGCGAGAGAGGGAAGTTCTGTTTTAATAAATTTCGACCAATTTTTTTCCTTGCTTCAGAAAATGTTATAGTAAGTACTTTTTTAAAAAATATATAATTTGTATCTTCGTAATTGTTTAAAGTTAACTCACCCTTTGTAAGTTTCGGAAGTTTTTCCGACTGTGAACATATTAAGAGGTGGTAACTATAGTGTATTGTTATAGAAAAGATGTAAAAATCATTAAATTAAATTAAATTAAAAAAAAACATGGAAAAAAGAAATTTTTGCACGATCGGTCTTTTTTTGCTACTATGGATACGATCAACGCAGTAAGTTGTACTTACCGCCTTTAGGCTGTGAAGTTCACTAACTACAGGGTACAGACCCTACACTTAATTTCTAAATGAACTTTTATTAGCTTAGATTTACAATTTCTTCAAATTACTGCAACAGTGAGAAGCATGATTATTAATAATAACTGGTATTCTGAAAGCTTCAAAAAATAGTTGTTGTCAGTGTAGGAGTGCCAGTGATGTGAAAGTGTATTTTTGCATAAAAATGGAGGTAGATGATGAAGAAAATTTATTTTTGTGCACCCCACCAGAAATATCTGAAGCAGCTGCAGTAGCAACATCATCCTTTTTCCGATAAAATAAAAAATGTATGAGAAAGAAAACACAGCTTTTACTAACTGGTGCAAACAAAAAAATATCGGAAAGTGTTCTTCTGGGGTATATTTTCCGGGGAAACTGAAGCGATATAAAGCATTTTCTCTGTGGAGTTATTTTTCAATGGTGAAGGCAACATTTTCAATAAAAACAATATTTATCTAAGTAAATTTGGGAAATTGATCACTTCTTTAAGAAAGCAATTTGATAAATACAAACCGAAAAAATCGAAAAAAAACTATAATGAAAGATTATATCAGAAAATTTATCACAGAAGCACCGTAGCGTACCTTTCTAATGACCAAGGTAATAGTATGTTAATATTGTTGGTTGTTTTATTAATAGTGTGTGTTATTATAGGTCACGTTAATTCTTGGTCTCCCCGGAGCATGCCAACAACTGAAATTGACCACGCTAACAGTGGACGATATTGAGGATTTGGGATCGACATTAATTTTAAAACTGTAAGAAACTAAGACAAAAATTGCAAGAAACGTCTCACTTGTAAATAACAGTAAAGAGTTTCTCGGAGTATACGGCAAATGCGTTGCACTACGACCACCGAAGATAAATCACAAGCAGTTTTTTATTTCTTTTAGAAATGGAAGATGTTTCAGAAACTTTGTAGGGAAAAATACATTTGGACCGATGCCTGTGAAAACAGCTGAATTTCTGAAATCGCCTAATGCTCCTTCTGAGTATTGTTCGGTTGTTTGGTGTCCGTGCTATGAAGTACACATCAATACAAGAGAAAAAGTACAGCGCAAGTTTTTCAAATACTTATATGTATTTTATTAAATACGGTAGATATGCACAACATTGTGCGCACGCAGAACTATTAAATGAGTTTAATCAAGTACCATTAGCAGTAAGACCTAATTGCATGTCTGTCGTATTCCTGTTTAAATTAGTTAAAACTGCATATTCTATTCTGAATCTCTAACTGGACTGTTGCAGTTTCATGTACCTCATCCAAAATCTAGATTAATGTTAACCTTTGATTATAGCACACCTAAGACTAATAATCAGCATTATGTACTCGCTCATACTCACTATGTGTAGGAATTATAACAATATTAGCAAATATATAGATATATTTACTCATAGTCTAATAGACACATCTCTATTGAAATGCACGCCTTATGGAGTGGCACACTTTGTGCTTGATATAATAACATATTTTTATCCTTAAAATTGCTTCAAAGAGAATCTAAACAAAATTTCTCTAGCATTGTAAAACACAGCAACGTCAGGATTAGTGTTACATTGTGTATATTAACAATATGTTCATCTCCACTAAAAAGAAGCGAAAGCTTATTAAAGAAAAATACGCCAAGTTCTAATGTACGAGCGTTTCTAACAGTATTTTAGAATCGAGAAAATTTACCTTCCAAATTAAGTACAGAAATAGGTACAATAAATATATAATTTTCAGTTTTTTTAAGTATTTATTGTATCTAGTATGATCAGCTACAGACTTGTCATGATTGCAAAAATATCTCGATTTAAGTTGTTAGCACACATTTTTGCTCATAACTCCGAAGGTACGTACCACTACAGAAAATAGCAAACCGTGTGCTGCCAGACATTATTAATATTAATTAGGACGAAAAACTACGGATTCCTCCTAAAAATGACGAAAAAGGAAATGCTATGTTGTATATTCGCTCATACGGAAAAGAGATGTTTGTAGAGCGTCGCAAAACGACGCCAGTTAAAATGCGTCGCGCACGGTAGCAACTAGAGGGGTCTTATCGCTGATAAAAACACATCGAACCCTTTGGGAAAACGTTCAGTCTAGTTCGGTCGCGAGAGTTTTGGTTATCAACGTTTCTTATCATGTAGTAGACGACTTGTTCATCGATAAACTGTATACGGTAGCCACACAAATATGTACTCAATTGTTATAGAAATATTTTTATGAAATTTAATCTGTCGCGTGTGTATGTGTGTGTTACTATATTTTGCACGTATTTCGAGGAAAGTGGGACTGGTGTTTTGTGTGTGTCAGCTGTTTAGGTTTCTTGGTAGATTACCGTTAAAGTGAGTTTTGTATAAAAAACAACCTAGGAGTCAATACATTTCGTGTATTTTTCCTATCAACAGAGGATTAGCCATTTAACTTTATCTTATCAGAGCTACTGAACTACGGTTTTATAAAAGCAGGTATGACTTATTTAATAATTTAATTATTCAATCATATTTACTAAGTTTCGAATCGCAGGAAGTGAATTAGTAAAGAATTGGTCGAAGGTTATTTCGACAGAACTTCCCTAGCCGTTGTACAGTTCAACAAATCCGCTTTTTTGAAAAATTGTAAAATTTGATTTTGCGATTTTTTTTATGATAAGCTGTATAAAGTAAAAACCAGTGGTGTAAATAACACCCCCCAGCTACACGAGGGAGCAAATTCTCAAGGGAGCGCGATAGGCACAATTGCGAACCATGTGGAATATACATATTTAAAGCAGATAACCAACGGAAAAGTGTAGTCTCAATTTTTTAGTACATGCTTAACTTCGAGTATTTATGTTTATACTACTTCGAAAGAACTTAACAATTAGCATGTTCAGATAACCAGGCACCAGCACCACTTACTTAAAAAAAAATGATTAATTTTGAAGAATATTTATGCAGCAAAATTGTAACATAACGTCACCATTTCTTGGGGAGTATAAACGGACAAATTTCGATTAACAGTTTACCGTGCGTCCGATAACCTTAAAATTTTAAACAACATTCGGCTTTGCAACTTCAAAACTAACTTGTAAAGTATACCTAGTCGTTATAGAATGTTGATTTTTTTCCGAAAAATCTGAATATCTAGGGTAAAGAACACGGATTTATAAGTCACACATGCAGGAAATTTAAAGAACAGATTATTATCTGTGTGATAAAAATTGACAAAAACGACAGACAGACAGACGGAAACCGGCAACCTACTCCAGGATTCATGTAACGTGAGCAAATATGAAAGTAACCAGTCGACTCGGTTAAGTATTGGCTTACGCTCGGGAAGAAAAAGTCGACACAGACGGCAGACGATGAAAAGATGGAAACGAGAGACCTATTTATTCGTACTCTGGGCTTCATGAAACGTCAAGAAAACAAGAAAGTAGCCATTCGCCGAGTAAACTCCATTACAATACTTCCTTAGCGTTCACTTGGGAAGTAATGTCCGCCTATATTCAATTTAACTGTAGTTCTGTAGTTTTTGTTGAGTTGCCGTTAATTATTTGAACGTGCTTCTTTGGAAATACATATAAAGGTAGGAGTTAAGCATGTACTCAAACATTCAGAAAAAATGTTTTCCCGTTGGATATCTGTTTTAAATATATCTCATATTGTCCGCACTTGTGTGGACTGTGCGTGCCCCTTTGGAATTTTGGCATTCGCGCGCAGGGGATGCGGGGGTATTATTTACGCCACCGTTTCTTTATACACTGTTACTGCTACCTACTATCAATTTTTTGTAGTATGTATCAAGGTTATTACTTATTACAAATTAAATGTTTCAAAATCAAATCGTATAATTTTTCAAATGAGGGGGATTTGTCGGTCTATACCTCGGGAGCGAGGGAAGTTCTATCGAAACCACTGTGAGTGATTGCTGTCAAGTTTTATATGTATGTTGATGGTAAAACACCAAAATTTTGCATGGTAAACGCCATTTAAATTTTATAAATCAACTTGCTCCTGTACTTGTGTTTTTGCGGATGATTTTTACTTCCCGAGCGTAAGCCAAGGAAGTATTGTAATCGAGTCGTCGACCGACTCTCTACTTTTACGTTTTCTCGACCTTTCATGACTCCTACAGTACGAAGAAATAGGTCTCCCTTTTCCGTCTGTCTGTCTGTGTGTCCGTCGGTCCATCTGTCCGGCTGTCTGCCCCTCTGTACCGGATTTTTATTAAACAGATAATCTCCGAAAGTACTGCACGGATTGTTGTCAAATTTTTTACTTATATTAGGAATATCATGCAGATGGTAAAACACTAACCAAAATTTGTCTAATCATCCCCACCAATAATGACATCACTTCAAAATTGTACATAGGAAATGGGTTTTAAATTATATAAAATAACATTGTCCTTTCTACACATGTAGTTTATGTGACCGTGTTGAGTTTTTACACGAAACGTAGAAATTTTTGGGAAAAAGTTAGAATCATAAAGCAACATTTTGCAATTTAATTTTGAATCTGCAAGACCAAATGCTTTGAAATCTTGCAGACGTTTTGAAGTTATTGTAGGCATGGTAACTTTTTAGTCAAAATGTATAGTTTTTCAACCCTAAAAAATTTATGACATCATCTCAAAATTTTGCTTAATAAATCCTATCTAAAATGTGCAAAATAACTATGATCAGCCTATACTTGTAATTTATCATTGCATTAATATTTTTTTAGATTTGCTTATAAAGGGTGCCTCAAGAAAATTAATGTATCAGTCAATTTATTTTATTTATTAAATTAGAAACGACCCACTCTATTTTCCCAGGAGATTTTGGGAATATAATAGGACTGTAATTTGTAGTATTACACTGCACCAGTCCAAGTTGATATAACGTGTCCTTGCAAAAATGTTGATGACGTCATTACAATTTTTTTTATTGGTTAAATTAAGAACGAGTCACCCCCTGTGCTCGGAAATGTGAAGAATACGCACTTATTTATATAATAATTGTGGTTTAATTAATAATAATCATTTTAGAATTGTGGGAATGGGACTATTTGGCGCAAAGCCAACTTGGCGCAGGGATACTTTGGCGCAAGCCATCTTGGTGCTAGTAGGTCGGTATATAATATAAAAAATATTTATTGTTCGTACTGTGGTTTACACCCTGTTATTTATGCTAAGTGTAGGCAACCAAATACACAGTTTCATTCGCACAAATTCCAATAACTAAATGATCCACAGAGCAAGAAGTTCCACAACGTTCTACAACTAGTTGCATAAATATAGTTCACAGTCTTTTATAGGATTCAAAAGAAATATTCAATCATGTAGATGCTGTCAAACATGGAAGAATGTATGAAGAGCAAGCACGTCAGCAATTGGAACTCCAGCTCCATTCTCCAATAAAAAAATATGGACTGTTCATAGATAATGAGTATCCATTCCTGGGTGCGCCACCTGATGGGTTAATTGGAAATGACGTCATTGTAGAGATAGAATGCCCATTTTCAGCATTTAATACTCATAGATGTTGCGAAAGAAAAATCACATTTTGGAGAAGTGATATGTCAGTCAATAAAAATCATTCCTGGTATTATCAAACTCAGGGACAACTGAGGATAAAAAATAGGAAAAAATATGTACTTGCTGTCTGAACCTCGGAGAGTGAACCACTAAAATTGGAAAATATAAATCGAGACGATGACTTTTGGAAAGTAAAGATGGAAGCGAAGTTGGTTAATTATTATAAAGTTGATCCTCGTCACACTCGAAATATGCGCATTAGGGACCCATATATTACAGAAGCTGTTCAAGGAAAAACCTAGATTTTTTTTTGTACTTCTAAAGATATAAAACTTTGAAAACATTAACTGTTTTTTAATTAGTAGGTATCTAACTTTTTTCATTGATTAATTTTTAAAAATATACATGTATATTCATATTATTTCATATTATGTCTAGCTCTCCCTGGTTGTGTGATAAAAGTGTTTTCGCTGTTTTAGAGTTTTTCTTTCGATTAAATTAAATATTACATATAATACACAGTAAATCTGAATTTTTATTCAGTGAAAATATTTTTGTACAGTTCTCTATATAAAAAATGTCTCACAATTTTGATGTTCCTTTCTTTTTACTTCTTCTCTCGTTTCCATCTGTTGGTTGTTATTAGACAGATAATCTCTGAAACTACTGGTTTTATGGTTATTTGTCACTAATTTGCGCAATTTTACATAGCGATGTATCAATAAAATATTAACATCAGCGAACCCAAATATTCATATGACAGGCTTAAACTGATTTATTGCTATTTAAAATTAAGTCACCTTTAGGGGAAAAAAGTACCGCAATAATTAACGGCACATTCAGTAACAATCAACAAATTCTGTTGCTTTTTGTTAATGCTAAATATTGAAGTTTCCTTATTAGAGCGTAATTTGTTTAATTATACTACGCCATTCATCTGCGGCACCCAGTTGACACTCAATAGCGGCGGGTTTCGTGTTACATTAGGTACGAATCGGTATCATTTAGATTCTAGTAAGAACTTTTTCACAGACGGTACCAATAATTCAGTAGTGGGGTGGCCGTCAACCCCGCCTCCAACAATACGTTTTTTCGTCGTACCAACCCCTCTAAAACTCAACGGCACGGTCCAGATTTCTCTTAAACGTTATTTTATCTCTTACTATACTAAATAAGTTTTAACATACTTTTTAATATTTGTCCATAGAAATATATAATCTTTGCAATTATTTTGTTGAGTTACTCGAAACTCTATTTCTATTCAGAAATAAAACAAATTATGTTCGTAGCAAAATGTTTTCTTTATTTCACTCAGAATCGACCGTACAGGGTTATTCATGTCAAACTCCATGTCTAAAAAATTAAAGACGCAACCAGATATACAAATTTCAAACCTTTACATTAACGCAGTGTCAGATACTATCATGTTAAAACTGGTATTTCGTCAAAGTTGATCCAGAGTGTGTTCAAATGACGAAAAGATTGATGTGATTTTGATCTATGGTAACCTTCACGATTGTATACCGAACATTATCCCTACGGGAGGTTCCCTGATGAGCTCTTGTTTTGAATTTGTGTGTTTTTAACTTTAATCAAATAATTGATAAAACCAAACTATGTTTAACTTAAAACAGAGATGATGGTAAATATCAAAGACGTCTATGAAATTGTACTACTAGTTGCGTTTTGAAATGTTAAGGCGTTGAGCTTCTCGTGAATAACCCTGCTACTAGACATTTCAGACAGTTATAAAACACGTAAAATTAAAATTGGATTAATTAAAAATGTAATAAAATTTAAAATTTTCAGAAGTAATAATTACTCAAGTTCCGCTCTCGAGAGCTTCTCTCCCACACCAATATTGTTAGCCTTAATTTTACAAACTGCTTAATTTAAATTAAATAAAAATTATCTGGGTGATAACTTAACTCAATATTTCTAACGGACTGATTCTAATTTAGTAATTGCTTACGGGTAACTGCCTGTTTATTCATTTTCCTATCCAACTGGATTTTCACGCATTCAAATATCTATTGAGCTACTTATTTCAGTAGGTATGTATGTCACTTCCCTTCCCCATTTTTATTATAGCCGTATTTATTTGCTTACTTACATATTTCAGGGGCCAGACGAGTTCTGTTAAATAACTTTAGACCAATTCATTTTTTGCGCATTCTGATATCTTAAGACAACTAGGGAAAATTATTACTTCGAATTGATAAGTTCTTTCAGCATTCTTTTGGAGATCTAATGAGAGAAACTATGAATTCAAACATGTCCTTTGCGTTTTCATTTTATATACTGTTAAAACCATTATATAGTTGAATGTATTGTTACGATTTACGGGTATTAAATCGGCGTGGATAAAATTCAAAGGTTTTTTCCTCAGAAATAAAAATTTACACGACTAGCTATACAGCGAAAATATAACAACTAATAATTCCAACTCAATTTAGACTCATCACTCGACTCGGTTGGATTAGATTAGACTAGGCTGCTCCCGACGGTGGTGTTTATTTAAATCCAAACAAAATTAAAAATCTCTTTCGAGGTTGTTCTGGAATCCACCAACCATCGAGACTTCCCGAGACTTTCGATGCACCACTTCCAGGCTTTTCTTTAGTGGAACGCCGTCGTCACCGATGATGAGTCACCACTTATTGTCGTACACTGTCGTACATACGAATTTTTTCGAAAGGAGACTAGATGCTGTATTGTTGCATCGGCCCTCTCGCCCTTGCACCAACTCGACAACGGACCCAGAAAAATCTCTTCCTAACTTTAGAAAACGTCTTGTTGATTCCAAAATGAGCACCTGAACCCCCGTGTATCTCTCGAAGTACTTCCTTGTTTCTGATGGCCGGAAACACCTACTACATGATGGTTGTTTTCTTGTTTGCTCGCTTAAGCAATCCGTTCTCGACACGTAGACAGTCCCACTGAGCCTATAATGCCTTGAAAGAGGGTGACTCGTCTGATATTTTCGGTCAGCCCGGCCATTCAACCCCTTCTTTCCATTTGAGCCATGGCTCGATATCCACGTCCTCCTCTTGGCCTTTTCTAAGCTCGGCCGTACTCCATTCTTCATCCTCTACGACTGTTGTCCTTCTAGAGTTGAACGAGGTTTCGTACTGCTCGAGCTTGTCGCAGTATTTGCAGCTCTTACACGGTCTTTTCGATGAAGAGTGTGAAGCTTAGCAGCAGCTCTGTGTCGAATCTTCGAGAGGGACTGTTGGAAACGTTCAGCCATCTAGCCACTTGTCCAAGATTCTTCATCTGAAGGAGCCATGTGAGGGCTGCGTGATCGATTCTAATCAGGAATTTGCGTCCACAGAGACAGTTACGGAACAACGACCGTAACAATCACCAACAATTCTTTCCTCGTGGTGCAGTAGTTCATTTCGAGTTTCGAAGGTACGCTGATGACGTTTTCTTCATTGTCCTGAGCCTGTAACAATACGGCACCTATTCCGATGTTATTCGCGTCAAGATGAACATTTTCGATGATTGAGGTGGACGAAGAGGACTAGAGCATAGTGCATTCTTCAATCTTTTGTAGCCTTCCTCACATTCAGCAGTCCAATTAAACTGAAAGTTCAAATCCGTTAGCCTGTGCAGAGAAGCAGCAATATCAGCAAACCTTCTATAGTATGTGCATAATCGCAAGAAACTCCTGACTTGGTGTTTATCTCTTGGTATTGTCCAATCGCGAATCGTATTGACCTTTGTTCCCGTAGTCTTGATCCCATTTTCCGGAATAGTATGTCTCAGAAATTCTTCTTCTTTTTTGGAATTGATTTCTTTGGATTCAACTTCAAGTTTGCCTCCTTCATTCGACTGAATAGTTCTTCTAGGTTGGTCCTCAAATATCTTCGACATTACCATTATATCATTTAAATAAACCAAACATATCTTTCATGTGAGCCCTCGCACTACCATCTCCATTAGCATCTCAAAAGAAGCCGGAGCACTACACACAGTCCAAAAAACATTACGGTAAATGAATGCAAGCCGCCTCCGAAAGAAAAGGCGGTCTTTTCCTTATCTTCTGGACGAATACCATCTTGCCAGTAGCCGCTTTTGATGTTCAACGTGGAGAATCAGACGGATCCTGCTAATGTTTTGAGCGTGTCATCAATTCGGGAAAGCGAGTAACTGTCATTCTTGGTTACATCGTTTACTTTCCTGTAGTCTACCCCGAATCTCGTCGACCCATCTTTTTTGGTGACTAGCACTACAGGCGACGACTATGAACTGTTTGATTACTCTATAACGCCTTTATCGAACATTTTCCGTATCGGTTTCTCATCTTCTTCTTGTTTTGTCCAAGTTACTGTACATGATTGGTTTCGCGTCTGCAATGTTCATCCGATGTGGCAGTATGTTTGTGCACCCAGAGGCCTGTCCAAATTCTACTGTATTTCTGCAGAAACTCTTGCCACTTTCCGTTGATGATTGGCTAGATGACCAAGCTCTAGGGCATGAATTTCTAAGTTGCTTTTTATAATTAACTAGCTTTTCACCCGCGGCTTCGCTCGCGTAGACGATTCATTGTATTGAAGAGCATTATTATCAACCTTCAAGTAAAAAATGTGTTGAAGGACATTAATACAATTTCCAGTAAAAATCGACTTCAAAAATGTTTGCTCATAGAAACTTTGTCACCCCCTTTCATCTTGTTAGGGGTGGAATCTCGAAACAATCTGAAATACGTGTTTCATTATTTGTGTTGAAGAGTATTAATACCAACTTCCCCGTAAAAATTTTCATTTACAGTAGAAATATTTTCCCATACAAACTTCGCCACCACTTTACACCCCCTTAGGGGTTGAATCTCGGAAAATGTTTAAATACGGGTTTCATTATTTGTGTCGAAGGGCATTAATACCAAGTTTCACGTAAAAATTTAAATATACAATAGAAATATTTTCCCATACAAACTTAGCCTCCACATTTCACCCCCTTACGGGTTGAATTTTAGAAAATGCTTAAAGACGGGTTTCATTATTTGTATTGAAGAACATTAACACCAAGTTTCACGTAAACATTTCAATTTGTAGTAGAAATATGGTTCCTATACAAACTTAGCCGCCCAAACTTAGACACCACTTTGCACCACCTTAGGGGTCGAATCTCCGAAAATGCTTAAATATGTATTTCCTTATTTGTGTTGAAGAGAATTAAAATGTACCAGGTTGCACGTAACGATGTAAATTTTACAGTAGACATATTGGTCCTATACAAATATTATCACCCCTTTTCACCCCCTTCTTAAACGATCCCTCCAGTATAAAATGAACATTGTCTCCAAATTTCACCTTTCTAGCATTAGCGGTTTGGGCTGGTTGTTGATAGGTCAGTCGGGACATTGCCTTTTATAAATAAAGAAGATTAATAATTTTATATGGTGTATTATCAATGTCATGGAGATGATAAAACGCTCACCAAACTTTGGTTGTACATTGGAAATTTAAAATTTAAAGATTGTTTAAACTAACACTCCTGCATGTGTAGTTTATGAATCCGTGTTTACTTCTATTGAAGACTTCCAGTTTTCTGAAAAAAAAAAACAAAACTATATAAAAATATTTTGCAATTTATTTTTGTTTATAGGAAGTATGGTAACTTTTTAATCAAAATACATTTCTATATCCCCCAAAAAATTGATAATTTTGCTGAATATATTATTTAAAATGTGTCCATACTTGTGATTTATCATTGCTTTCATATTTTTTTAAATTGCTTATAAACGGTAACTCAAAAATTAATGAAAAATCAACCAATTTTAATGATTAAATCAGGAACTACCAAACCGAATGCTTTGAAATATTACACGTTTTAAAGTTATCATTAGCATGGTGAGTTTTTTAATTAAAATATAAATATTTGGTGGTTACCCCAAAAAATTAATGACGTCGTCTCAAAATTTTGCAAATAAATCCTATCGAATATGTATTCGATAGGATTTATTTGCAAAATTATGAGGGCCCTTACAAGTTAATATAAAGATATTAACTTGTAAGGGTCCCCATAAAAAAATAAGATTGGCAAAATAAAATTTTAAAAGTTTTAGAAAAAGCTGGATATGTTTTCTTTTAGTTACTTCAACGGCGAGAAAAGTTTTGTCGAAATAACCTTCAACCAATTTTTTAGAATTGTTTCTACAGGCGAATGAATTTATTTTACTGATTAAATCAGGAACTACAGAACCGAATGCTTTTTAAAATCTTGCATCCAAAAAATTTGACAAAAATCAATCCAGTACTTTTGGAGACTACCTATTTAATAAAAATCCGAACAGACGATAGACAGACAGACAGACCGAAGTTGGAGACCTATGTTGTCGTACTAGAGGGGTCATGAAATATCGAGAAAACATGAAAATATCCGCTCAGTTACATCACTTCCTTCGTTTGCGCTCGGGAAATAAAAAAAATTGGTCTAAAGAGTTTAGACAGTACTTCCCTCGCTGTCGGAAACTTGACGACTGCATGGCTATTGTGTTTTTTTCTCATTACATTTTTGTAGTGGGAATTTAAAAAAAATTGCGATGACGTCATCAACATTTTTGCAAGGACACGTATATCAGTTGGGATAGATGTAGTGTAATACTAAGAATAAAATTATTGTATTCCCAAATTTTCGGGAAAATGAATTGGGTCGTTTTGAATATTGATTTTTTATAATCAATAAAATAACGAAACAATTTACTCACGTATACGGCAACTGAAAATCGCTTATGTATAAACATTCTTAATTTAGGATGACAAGCGTAACAGCATACGTGAGAGTCAAACAGAGAAACTGTAAACAAAACGACCATCGGTTTTATTGCTTCGACTTCCGCTTATTATATAAAACATTGGGTTTTATTTTTATTTTTGACGGTGAAATTCACAATTGGTTGATTATAAACATGTCTATTCCACATTCGCGGAACCTATAGTCAGCGCATAAAACAAATGCACGTCTGTAATGTTAAAGTGGATGTAAATAAGCGTGCTACCCTTATGTTTCAACCGAGTTTTTACTTTAAAAAATTTTGTGTCTACCAAATTGGGTTGGTCCAATGTAATACTAATAATAAGTGTTGCCTTTCATATAATCAATAAAATAAATTGACTTCATTAATTTTTTTGAGCCACCTCTAAAAAATATGAATGGAATGATAAATCACAAGTACAAACTCATCATATTTTTTGCATTTTAGATAGGATTTATTCAGCAAAATTTAAGGGTGACGTCATCAATTTTTTTAGGAGGGATGAACAAATACATTTTGAACAAAAGTTTACCATGCTTATAAGAACTTTAAAATATCTCCAAGATTTCAAAGCATTCGGTTTTGTAATTCCTGATTAAATCGATAAAATAAATTCACGCATTCATTTTTTTTTTGAGTCACCCTGTATATGCAAATCCAAAAATATGAATGGAATGATAAATCACAAGTACAGACTCATCATATTTTGTACATTTTAGATAGGATTTATTCAGCAAAATTTTGGGGTGACGTCATCAATTTTTTAGGGAGGATGAGCAAATACATTTTGATAAAAAATTTACCATGCTTATAATAACTTTAAAACATCTCCAAGATTTCAAAGCATTCGGTTCTGTAAATCCTGATTAAACCAATAAAATAAATTCATGCATTCATTAATTTTTTTGAGACACCCTGTATATGCAAATCCAAAAAATACGATTGGAATGATAAATCACAAATACAGACTCATCATATTTTGTACATTTTACATAGGATTTATTCAGCAAAATTTTGGAGTGACGTCATCAATTTTTTAGGGGGGAAGAGCAAATACATTTTGATAAAAAATTTACCGTGCTTATGATAACTTTAAAACATCTCCAAGATTTTAAAGCATTCGGTTCTGTAATTCCTGATTAAATCAATAAAATAAATTGACGCATTCATTAATTTTTTTCAGTCACCCTGTATATACAAATCGAAAAAATATGAATGGAATGATAAATCACAATTACAGACTCATCATATTTTTCACATTTTAGATAGGATTTATTTACCAAATTTTAGCGTGAGGTCATCAATTTTTTTAGGGAGGGATGAGCAAATAAATTTTGATAAAAAATTTACCATGCTTATGATAACTTTAAAGTATCTCCAAGATTTCACAGCATTCGGTTCTGTAATTCCTGATTAAATCAATAAAATAAATTGACGCATTCATTAATTTTTTTGACTCACCCTGTATATGCAAATCGAAAAAATTTGAATGGAATGATAAATGACAAGAAGAGACTCACCATATTTTGTACATTTTAGATAGGATTTATTCAGCAAAATTTTGTGGTGACGTCATAAATTTTTTAGGAGGGGACGACCAAATACATTTTGATCAAAAATTTACCATGCTCATGATAATTTTAAAACATCTTCAAGATTTCAAAGCATTCGGTTTTGTAGTTCCTGAGTAAATCAGTAAAATAAATTTTGCGCATTCATTAATTTTTTTGAGTCACCCTGTATATGCAAATCCAAAAAATATGAATGGAGTGATATATCACAAGTACAGACGCATCATATTTTGTGCATTTTAGATAGGATTTATTCGGCAAACTTTTGAGCTGACGTCATCAAGTTTTTGGAGGGGATAACCAAATATATTTTGACTAAAGATTTATGATGCTCTTTAGAGCCTTAAAACATCTGCAACATTTTAAAACATTCGGGTTAGCAGATTCAAAATTAAATTGCAAAATGTTGTTTTATGATTTTGAGTTTTTTTCCAAAAATCTGGACATTTCGGGTAAAAACTGAATTCGGAGTCCTAAACTACATGTGTAGGACTATGTTATTTTATACAATTTAAGACCCATTTACTATGTACAATTTTGAAGTGACGTCATCGCATTAGTGGTGGGGATGATTAGACAAATTTTGGTTAGCGTTTTACCATCTACATGATATTCCTAATATAAGTACAAAATTTCACAACAATCGGTCCAGTACTTTCGGAGATTATCTGTCTAATAAAAATCCGGGACGGCAGACGGACAGACGGACAGACGGACAGACGGACGGAAATGGGAGACCTATTTCTTCGTCTTCTAGGGGTCATGAAAGATCGAGAAAACGTAAAAGTAGAGAGTCGACCGACGGACTCGATTACAATACTTCCTTTGCTTACGCTCGGGAAGTAATTATGGATTTTAGCAAACAAAAATTGGTCTAAGGTTATTTCAACATAACTCCCGTCGTTCTTAAAATACAGTCCAACAAATCCCGTTTCCTTGAAACATTATAAAATTTGATTTTGCAATTTCTGTTTCGTGATTACCTCTATGAAATAAAAAACAGTGGCGTAAATACCACCCTGTGTGGCGCGGGGGCGTAACTTCCAAGAAGGCGCGATCCGTACATGTGCGGACAATATAAAATATATTTAAACCATAACCAGCCAGGATTATGCAGTTTATATATAAAATTTTATAACATGGGCTGAGGAAGATTTAACGGATTAGTTCCACTGCAGTTTACATCTGCTCAGAGTGTTAATAACGGCTGTTTTTTACACCATTATTTTCTATCATTATTCTTTCAGATGAAAATTTCACAAAATATTTTTTAACTTTTTCGAACTTCACTGAAACAATTTTAGTTTGACACTAGATGTAAAAATCATGGTGTTGTTAAAGATCACATAATCAAAAAATTGTTACTCATCTGATAACTACATACAATAGATAAAACAGAAAAGTATAGATACGCAAACGGTTTATCTTATCAGTTTCATAAGCACACAAAAATAAATTCTTTAGTGGTCGACATATCAAAATATAATTTACAACACTTTATTGCTGGCATAATTTGCTTGGCGTGATTTTATTACGATTTTTATCAGTTATAAAGATTTTGGTATATTTAATAAAAAAATTCAAATAAATGATACCACTGTCATAAATGTAACTCTTATTTTTAATTCTGAGCTAAAAAATTGGTCGAAAGTATTTCAAAAGAACTTCCTTCGTCTTGAATGTACAGTCGGACAAATACAGCTTCGAATATTTATCAGATTTAACGTTGAGAATTTTTTTGGTTTGTTAAAGTACAGGTAAAGAACCATCATAGCATAATACATTTCTAATGAGTTTTTCCCTATAAAAATTTTTTGATGACGTCATCAACATTTTAGCAAGAACGCGTATATCAATTTGGTGCAGTGTAATAGTGTCAATAACAATACTGTATCCTCAAATTTTCAGGAAAATGGGATGGGCAACAAAACATGTCGCCTCATTCATTAATCTTTTTGAGTCATCTCGTATAAACATGTAAAAAAAATGGTCGAAAGTTGTTTCCTCTCACCTAAAATATAATGAAACATATGCAATATTCTCGAGCTGAGTTTTTCTTTACACAATTTTATGATGATGTCATCAACATTTTTCCAAGGACACGTAGGTATATCAACATACTGCATTATTAGATATTTTTTAAATTTGCTTACACAGGGTGCCGATGACTGAGTTCGTTTATTTTATTGATTTAATCAAGAATTGCAACATTGAATACTTTGAAAACTTGCAGACGTTTTGAAGTTGCTGTGAGCATTGTAAATTTTAATCAAAATGTATCTATTATGTACCCCAAAAAATTCATGACGCCATCTCAAAATTTTGCTGTAAAAATCTTGTCTAAAATGTGCAAAATGTGATCAGTCCATATTTGTAATTTATCATTCCATTCAGATTTTTTACATATGCTAATACAGGGTGACTCAAAAAAAAAAATGAATCAGTCAATTTATTTTATTGAATAAATCAAGTGTTTCAAAACTGAATACTTTGGAACCTTGCAGATGTTTTAAAGTTGTTGTAAGCATGGTTTACTCAAAGGATTTATCTTGGTTTGGCAACCAACAATGTTCCCGCGTTGACAGCGTCGTTTTAAAACTGAACATAGGCTTATGTTCACTTAAAAAAAAAGCCCGATATAAATAAAGCAAATATTGTGTGTAATGCAAGAAAATCCCATAAAATCGGGAACAAATGTTCAAGACCAAGCGAAATTCAAACTCTTCGTTTTCGGTCGTTTGACGAGTGCTATTGCTATTACTATGCGGCTAGGGAAGGTTTGTCCGCACTCTTTCATTCCCTTAAATATGTACCGCAAAAAAAAATAGAATTACTAACAAATTTTATGTTTGTATATAGAAACCGCCTCAAAAAGTCTTGTGTATCACATGTCCGGAACAAGCTTTTGCAAATACCTACACATTATTTTGCAGCCTCGCCCATCGGCACGACTCGACAAATTCACTGGTATTCCAAAAGCCTAGCTTCTGGCTTTTTAATATAAATAACAATTTTATTATATTATGCCGCCATTTAGATGAAATCAACTGTCTTGCACGTTCATATAAATAATTATATTTCGAGTATAAATGATTAGCATAAAAAGTGTGTTAATTGTTTGCTTATTAGTGACAGAAGATTTATTCTTTTTAAAAATATGTTGCTTCAGTCAGCCTCAGTCCCGCTTTGTGTGAATAAATAGTAAAATTATTCTAGTTTTAATAGGAGATCGGAAGCTTAAGAAATATTTGTATTTAAAGCTAAAAATATTTTTGTGTGTAAAATCACATAGTAGACCTCTAACATAGCCAGTCATAAAACTGTATAAACTGTGTAGTTACATACGATACTCAATATCTTTGAGTCAAAGTTGCTAGACTGTTAAGAACGAGAAAATTTGTTTACATTTTACGCCCAATGTCTGTTTTCATAAACACATAAATCCGTCAACGAACCATACACGCCTGCACTTTGTCTCTCTTCGGAAAACAAATCACACGTTGGCTCCTCTGTAGAAATTCTAATGGGAGGCTTGTATCTTAACCATGTGAATCATCCGGAAACACTAAATAAATTGTACGTGTATATTTTTATTCTTTACACGGTCATGTAAATTTTATCGAATGAAAAGTGCTGCTTTAAATATTTAAATTTAACCAGTATGAAAGGGAAAGGTTCGTATACGGTAATTTCATTACGTTATTATTGTTAACCTGTTAAATTTTACACTTATACATTATTTTCTTATAATACGGTTAATACAATACTCAGTGCCCACAATAATGATCAAACAGTCTGTTTAATACGAAAAATACCAGAAATCAATAAAAAAATTGACAATACAGAATGTTTGTACAGAATTACTTATAATTTGGGTAGAAAAATTGCACCTACTACAGCAATAATACTCTAGAAATAGATTTGATATCAACTCCAACGATTGAAATGGTTACATTATTTTACAGATACACGTTTTGAGAAGATTCACTAGTTGAGTTTTGTGGAAAACTACGTCAAACTAAACTCACACTGACTTCCACGTTGTTAGGTAAGTTTTTGTGTATAAGTACATGCACTCTGCTTTTCACAGGCAAATAAGTTTGTTTTGATTCGTTTATTGATAGACAGAAATAATACGTAAAAAAATCTTTCAACTGCAAACAACGGATTTGAATATTTTAAAATTTTGTTTTCTTTATGAGTTTAAATATCTTATTCGGACTATAAATTTAGAATATTTGATGTTAAAATCAAAATAAGCAAGTAATAAATAACTCACATCTTACATTAACAGTGTGGCAATTAATTTTCCTATAATAAGTGACATAAACAATTTAAAATAAACCATCAAATAGCTTTGATCTGCTTAACTTTCCAATTGAGAGAGTTTTCGAACCACAGAGAAATCAAAATAGATTTTTTAAATGTTTATTGATAAATTCCAAATGAAAAAATCTTCTCCGCCAAATCATTTTATAGTTAAAATATATAAACTAAAAATTAAAATGTGCTACTAAAAATAAAATATATTGTATCGTGAAGCATATTTGTTAACAAATATTCATTTAATCAATGAAATTATGTCATTATTATTTTAGATGAGATGGATAAATAAGCAGAAGTCGAAGCAATAAAACAGACTGGACCATCGCATAGTGATCGGGCTATTACAATTCGTTTGGTTCAGTTTCTTTGGTTCACTCTCACCTGTACAATCTCGACAAGCGTTATCACTATTTGTCTTAAGTACAAGTGATTATAAATGCTTTTCAGTCCAGTTGCACCTCTGCTAGCTACTACATATGCCGGACGTGATTAAATTGTTGCATTATCTTATTGCTTAAATCAAGATTCAAGAACGTAACGATTCACGCCATAAATTACACTGCATTATATCGACATAGATATACGTGTTCTTGCAAAAATGTTGATGACGTCATCACCAAATTTTGTAATGAAAAAACTCCCTTGAAACAAATAGGTAGCACGTTTCTTTATTATCTTTACTTGAACGTAACATCCATATACAGGGTCATTATAAAATATTGTAGTCAACTCACCTATGAAAAACAAATGAAATTTTTCTCGTGCCGCTAATCACCAAAATGATTTGAACTGTTTTGAAATGTCACGAACGTCCAAACAAATCTGTCAGATGTGTCAAAAATTGAAATGCCCGGTTCGCGGTTTAATTTCATTTTAATAAATAGACACGAAAAGACGCCAGGCCAGAGCATTAAGGGTTGCAGTGTTATCGGGCATTTGTGAACGCCACTGCAATACATTTCAGTTTCAAAAATTGTAAATTGTCAGAAAAACGTTTAAGGGCTTTGTCATGAATTACACCTTGGAAAGTCGATTGGAGTTGAACAGAATAAATCATCTGGTCTGTTTTGCAAAGAAGCAATAATTTTTCAAATAATGAAATCCAAAAAGTGAGGTTAAGTTTGTCGAAACCAATGAACACGGTAATTATTTAAAAAATTACATTTTTATAGGTACCCTGAAGGTAAAAATTGTGAAAAATCACGTAATGGACAATGGCAGAGCAAGTCTTATCACAGTTAACGAACACTATGAGTACCTAATGAGTTTTTGCAGTAAATAATTTTGCCAAAGTTGTGATCCCGCGAAAGTTCTGTTTGTAAATTGTAAGGAATCGTCAGAATATTGGTGCAGACATGGTTTGTGACCGGTGCTTTTCTCTTGAAAAAACACAACTGAAATCCTTGATCTTCATCCCTACAATAGGTGAAAACTGCTATGTCCAAACATTACCTTCAGCTTTGCAGTTTCTACATATCTGAAACATGCCAGATCTGCATAACAGGAATGTCAAAGAGGTTCTACCCAAAACACGCCCACATGGCCATCCTAATATCAAGATTTTTCAAAATTTCTATAAGAAAAAAGATGAAAAAACCAATAAAATTTCAGGAGCATAGTGTTAAGAGTTCTGTAGCTGATTATGAGATCTCTTGAAACAACAGAATGTTTAATAAAGATTTTTAACTTTCCTAATAGTAAAATTACAATTATTACTAAACAGTAAGTTGAAGTAAGTTTTAAATTAAGAGAATGCAACTAACACCGAAAGAAAAATGAAAGTTACTGAAAATAAAAAACTTTATTGCAGTACCTACATACACTTTCTACATCTAATTTTGTTTATTGATCACATTCATTTACTTGAAAAAGTATCAGGCCTATGAATCGTCGTCTGCTAACCACACACCAACCTTCATTGCGTGTGATGGTGTTTCTTCAAAAGCGTGAGTATTTTCTATACACCAAATTCTGAAGTTCTGTCAGTTGACATAATAGCCTAACAGATGAAACCAGGCTTCATCAGAAAAGAACGACAAATCGAGAATCCCGTTATCGTCCATATCAGCTTGAAACCAACTACACTACCCAACGCGGCAAGGAAAATCAGCTGGTTGCAGCTCCTGAACCAACAAAATCTTGTATGGATGCATATGTAACTTCTCTTTTACGATTTTCTGACATGGGCTGTATGGTACTCCGGACAGTAAAGATTTTTGACAAAGCTTTATTCGGACTTTGTTCCATTCTCATCCTTATCCAATCTTCAACAACGTTTTCACTAACTTGAGGTCTCCCCGTCGGTTTTCACTTAGAAATGCTACCAGTGTCGTTAAATCTGGCCATAATTCGCCATATAGCGTCTTCAAAGATTCTTCATCAATGACAACAGAACATTTCACTAGATACTCGTTTTTAGACGCCTCCACAGAGTACACTCCATCCCCATCCTCATTTAACACCCCATTACGGTAATAGGCATGATGATTGCGCCAAAGAACTAAAAAAATCATTTGTAACACTGACCATAGTTATTCCTCTCTGTTCATTACCTGAGATTATTCCACAATGATCTGTAGTTTTGATAAAAACTGTTTTTTGAGACACTTATTAAAGGTCTAACAAAGGGGAAGACAGCAAAAATGAAAACAAGACAAGTCAATTAACGCACGTGAGGGAAAACGTAGAGCAGCTTTCAACACAAAAGGGTACAGGTGGTGGGAGTGCGCAGAACATTGTTTTGGTTTGGCCTTACAAATATCGTGCAAGCAGTGGCAGCGGCGATGAATATTTCGATTTTGAAATATTAAAATATTATTGCGGTTAATAAAAATATCACTTTTCTATTTTATTAGCGTTGACATTATAGAAAAAGAATTTAAACAATTATTAGTGCTGTATTTGATGTATGAGTTGAATAAAAAAGTAAGTAAAAGAAGTAAAAAGGTAATTTTTAGTGAGCAATAATTACTGTTAAATTACGGTACAGTCGATACTTCAATGTTAAAGACAGAAAACGTTACGCCTTATTATAATCCGACTTTACGGTATCGATAAATTGTGCCAGAAAATTAAAAACCATATAATTATAGTCATAGGTTGCTTATTCTCATAGTTTTAAGCCCGCTTTTATCTAAAGATTTAACTGTTGCTTTAAGACTAGTCGACTATAAAATAGTATATGATACTGGTTTATAATGAGGGATTCGTGAAATTTTTTACTCATGCTATAATCCCTCACATTATAAACTCGTTTAATAATTAAAAATACCAAATTTTGTGTGATAGATTATCATAATTTATTGTTACGTAAGTCTATTTTTTTACCAAACAAATAAATTTATTTTTATTAAATGGTTGTCTGTATTCTTTTGTGGAAATTGCTCTATTTTTAATTGTTTTTGAAAGAAATGTAACTCAGCCGAAACTCCCTTCTCAATACATCGATGTTGCGCCACTGCTAGCCCGACTACAAGTCGCGCATCTTAAGCCCCGCCCCTGTACCTTTTTGTGTTGAAAGCTGCTCTACCAGTACAAACGAAAAAATTATTGACATCTGACAGAATTTGATGAAGCGTTGAAACAGTGCAGCCGCTAATGTCAACTAATGTGGCGCTAAAAATAAAAATTCCAATATTAGTGTAATCCTTTCCACAAAACTGAAAAAGGCGGCACAAAATGTCACCAAAATCATGGCCTTCTTCGACTACAATATTTTATAATGACCCTGTATTTATTTTAACTTATAACATAGCTGAATGTGCTATGCCAGCAAATAAATTTCGTACATCAAATTTAGTGTCATTTTAAAAAATGAAATGTGGTGTAGGCTTTATTGTCATAATTTTTGGCATACCTATCTAAATTATTTTTTCAATACTTCAAAGCAACGTCAGATTAACTGAATCTGAACATGCAATCAGTATATGAATTTAACAAATCTAGAGTAATAATAACTCATGCTGACTGGTAGATCATGCAGGCAGATTCAAGAAATGTTAGGCATACCAAAAATACTCACTGTATTATCCAGAAATGGAGACAAACTCAAATGAGTATTTTTATTGCCACGTCGGGGTGTATAGATCCAGAAATACCCGATACCATACATACATGGACACTATAGAACGAAGCGGGGGCCTGGATTTCTGTGGTTAGTCCTGGTGTAATGGCACACGTAGAAAAACGTTTAAACAGTAACGTTTATGATTCTGTGCAACACCATGATTCCGTCGGTCAGAGGAATGACAATTTTTTTTTACAACACGACAATATATTGTATGCGCAGAACAATTATAATTGTTCTGCGCATACAGCGCAGCACATAAAGTGGCTCCAGGACCAAAATATAAATGTCCTAGATTGGTCTAGTCGAAGCCTGGATATGAACACTGTCGAGAATATGTGGGGACTATTGCACAAGAAATTACAAAGCAGAAGGGTAATTTTTCACAATAGAGAGGAGCTGTTGACTGCAATTACGGATGAATGGCAGACAATACCTCAGGATTATTGCCGAAATCTATGTGTCTCAGTGCCTAGAAGGTTGGCAAAAGTATTTGCAGGTAATGGGGCTTTGACGAAATATTGATTTTAATTCGATTTTTTTTTTTTTAGTTTAGATGTCGAAAATATTGAATACATGTTTACTTCATTTCTATCAAAATAAGTAGTGCCCCATCTTCCTTTAATTTTAGTTGCTAATTTTGTTGAATAAAGCAT